CAGTGGGACCTCTACTCTTGCGGCCACTTTTCCAATTGGCTGAATAGGAATATGAATATTTTGATCTTCAGTCATTTAATGTTGCAGTTTTTGTTTGTGTTCCTCGTGTCTTTGTCTGAAAGCACGTTCTATTTCCGAGTCAACCTACAAAGAACACCTTTTTTGTAATAAAATAAAATAAACTAAGATTAAAAGTAAATGGTCCCTAAAAACGGCGCCAAAAACTTGTTACATTTTTTATATTGCAAGTATACGATATCGTAACAAGTAATATAGTGGACCTTTGAGTCCGAATTATCCTTCTCATCAGAACTATACTTTAGAAGTTAATTAAATTCTTCTAACTCCTATTTGATGAAAGTAAACAAAGATTTATGCGTTGATTTGATTTGATTTGATGTGATTTTTTTTTTATTTAAACAGTTTAACTTAATTAAAATGCACACAAAGATTGGTTGATATTTCAAATAATGGATGGAAATTAGGGGTGGACAATTTCACTTATTGATCACCTTTAAGTCCTAATTCAAGATTCAAGAGCCTAATGTAGTGTTCGATTGAATTCTTCTATACTATTCAATTTACCCATCTCAAGTTCTTATTGAACATATTTAATTATTTCAATCGCATATCTCTATGCGAATCTACCTTAATTAAACGAAATATTAGTTCTAAAAATTCATGAATGATCGTAATATTTAGTATAGGTATTCTCTACACGTTATACTAAATTATCTAATTTTATTATATGGTCTAAATCTCAAACTCACATCTTGATTCGTAAAAAATTCACAAAGTCATAAAATTAGTGATTAAGTAATTTAATGCATTAAACTCATAGTAAAATCAACACATGAATGATAAAATACCAATAATCTTGAATAAAAGACATAAATGTTTTCAAATAGATTATATCGTTTGCCTTAATATAAAATTTAGCTATTCATACTAAAGGTGTGTATGAGCCACATTATTTTGGAAATATGTATTTTGAAATAGTAGATTGATGGAGAATGTGTGATTGAAAAATAAAGAAAAGTTATTGATTTGATGAGAAATATTATTTTATTAAAAAATGTGTGATTGAAAATGAGTAGAAGAATGAGAATGAAAATTTTAATGTGACTCAAACATGGGCTAAATGAAAAAAGAAAAACTAAAAGTTGTTATTGAATGCATCACCGAATTTTGAATATAGATGTAAAAAAAGATATAAAGCATGCACCAAGATCTACTTCTTCTTTTTCCAATCAATGCTTCAAAATTTGAATACCTTGATATTTTTCTCCTTTGAATTGTGCTCTTGATCTCTAGTTGTATCTTTGTTTTATCGATTTGTGGAACCCCTAAAATTTCCTCATTTCTTCTCTTTATACTCCCCTACACGTTCTCCCCAAATTTGGAGTTTTCTGGGCTTTTCGTGGCCCAAACCAGGATAACCCTAAAATTTGCGACGCAGCGTCGCGTTCCCTTCTTGTGTAGTGCCTGGGTGCTTAGTCGATATTCCAAACTCAGCGTCTATTTCAGTATTTTTGTCATAAATTTTTTCCCGATATCCAATTAAGGCAATTCAAAATGCATTGGAAAGATAAATCAAATGGCTACAACTTTGCTAAAAATATCTCTTTTTTAATTCGAACATTTAGGCCCTATTTGGGAGAAATTTTGATTTTTCTACATTAAATCAATTCTCATTTTCAACCACACATTCTTCAATAAAATAATATTTTCCATCACATCAATAATTTTTTCGTCTTTTTCAACCAACCACACATTCTTCAACAAAATAATATTTTCCATCACATCAATAATTTTTTCTTCTTTTTCAACCACACATTTCCCATCTTATCACTATTCAAAATCAATTCTTCCCCCAAAAATCCCTCTCAAACAAGCTCTTATTGGGCCAAAAATGGGTCTCAATCTCAAACTAAAAATCTGAACATCCTTGTGCAGTTGAAAATTGATTTGTGAAAATATTTTGGCCATATTTTCACTCCTTTTGAATTTTAATTGTATCCAATTGACCTCTAGCATTCTCGAATCTTCATCGCGAGTTCCAACACAACTTTTGAGTATTTGCACTTTAGCCCCCAAACTTTGGATCTTGCCATTTTTCGTCAATTTTCGCTTCTTTCTTTCAATTTCACTTCCATTTATCAAGTTCCACCTAATAACACATTTTATAATAAATTAGACTATAATTTCATTAAAAGAATTACGAAATGTCAATATTTTAGAGTCCGAATAAGTGTATAAAATACAATTATCACATGTGCACACTAGAGAAGAAAAACAGCAAATGAAGTACAATAAACAATCTTGTAGAAATATACCCGATAGTTTCTAGTCTCATCATGAGCTTACCTGTAAACAGAGTGATGTCATCTTCAACTCTTTAACGATGAGGGTACATTCTGAAGGCAGCAAAAAGTCCCCTCCAACATAATTGCTCCTACATTATGAAATGAATGAACAGAAAGAGGTAGAACAGAAGTTCCAATTTCATAGGTAGCCCACTCTTTCAGTTTCTTTCTTTTCTTTCATCATCATCTAGCCTTTTAGGTGTTCAGGGTTTGGCCGCAGGAAGAGGGTAGAATACAATTTAAATTATAACATACAGCATGGAATATGTATATATTTTGTGTTCTGATTTTACCCCTGCAAGCTTTGTTATTAGGGATCCGATGAACTGCCAGTGGTATTGCTGATGATCCATCTGTATCAGCAAGCTACAAAATGCAGAACAAACAATAGCTTAAAAGAAATCAAATTGATGTAAAGACGAGAATAAAGTACACTTAAGCAGTGTTTGATAGGCCATATTTTCCGGGGAAGTGATAGGCCATATTTTCCGGGGAAGTAGGAAAATATTTTCCACTTTCCACTTTTTTGGCTATTTGATAGGTGAAATTTTCCACGAAAAATATTTTCCTGATTTTCCCCACACGTGTGCAATTTTCGGGTTTTTGATGAAAATGTTTTCCTGCCTTTTTTGTGGAAAAATATTTTCCCGGCTAGCTCGAAAAAATTTTTTTGCAATGGAAACAAATGTCATAACTAATGGTAAAAAAAATTTCACTTTAATAGACAATTTTCATGTAAAACAAAATCAAACGAACACTAAACTTTGATNTGTAAAATAAAGCCAAACGAATAGAAAATTTAAAAATTTTCCACGTGAAAAATTATACCAATCAAACACACTTGAAATTGTTTTCCCTGCAAAATATTTTCTAGGCAAACCTTTTCCGTGTAAAACATTTTCTTTCCACCCATTTTCCACCCTTACAATCAAACGCACCCTTAGCTATATAAAACTAATGAAGAAATTTGGTATTGCCTGTTAAAGAAACTCCAACAGATCCACATCAGTTAAATCAACACCTAAAATACATGGTACCTGAAAAATACATAAGCTGTCATGCCTTAAGAAAAAATTGCTGAGCAAAAATATATGTCAGCCTGCAAATTGATTGGCAGAAATATCTGTAAGCATTAGATAACATTTATGCAACTTAGTGGAAGAAAATGAGTTACAAAAGTTCAGAAAGAGTTTTTCAGTTGCTCTAGAGCTATCTAAAGCAGTGTCAGAGCTATCTAAAGCAGTGTGATAGCAAAATATTGGAAATCTCTAATTAAAACAATGTACAAGGTAGACATATCCAATTATATTGGAAGCGATATCTGGACATTATATCGAGCTCGGAACGGTTTGGGTAGAAGAAGAAAATACCAGTTTTGCACTATTTGGCTAGTTGGTAGGCTGAAAAAAATCGAAATAATAATAATAATAATAATAAATTAGCAAAACATTAAATATTTAACTATTAGAGCTTTACCGCAAGAGGCGTGGCAACAGATGGCTGCCTGTGTAGAACATTCAAATTCCTGTATGCAAAATACAGCATAAATAAGTTGACCAATATAGATCTTCAGCTGAAATTAACAAAACATATTATTTTATTTGAAATTAGAGAACAAACAAAGAAACAGCTAAAGCCCACATGAAATTGATGCTTTTAGTTATAAAGACAGCTAATAGCACTCACATTTTAAGGTCTAGACGAGAATCACAGCCATTACTTTGTAAAGGATCTTGAATCCTGAGAAAGAATATTGAAGATCCAACCCAATTCTGAAGCAGTAACTGATAACCAATTTCAGGAAAACCTGTATTCAATATCAAGACCACCAAAAATCAATTCCAGAGGAACTTTGATACTTAAACTACATCAAACATGATGATGCAAACCAAAATAAAGAGATTAACATGTAGATACCACTTACCAGTGTTTGCTCAGCATTTAGATAGGTGATCGTCTTCATTTCTCCAGATAGAACCAAAGTGCTCACTCAATGAGTAAATTACATTGAACATAGCATTTTGACAAGCTACTGCAAGACTAGTTTACGTTAGCACGCAATTCTTCAAGTCTAATCCTTTCATCAGCAGCATGCTATAGCAACCCCCAGTGAACAATTCAGTACACAAAATTACCAAGTGAGAAAAACAATGTTGTACCCTCGACGTGCATGCAATAAGGGGTGCAAACATGCAATCTTAAGTGAGTAAGTCTAATGTGTACAAGTTCAATTCCTTCAACAATCTACTTAGGACTTCTGCTTGGGAAGTCTTTACATAAGGAGCCATTAGTTGAGTGATGGATCCTTACCAGGAATCAACATCTTTTGCCTTCAACCAGATGTAGAAGGCTAAATGCTATATATATAGTTATGAAAATTACTGTAATTTTTTTTTGGATTGGTCAATAGAAAAACCAAGCCTTCAAAAACAAATGAGACTGAAATGTTATCTAAAAAGTCATAACAGAAATGCATTGACCAGGTCAATAGGGCTCTGCCAGCAACAACCACAGTGAATTTCTTGTCGACCTGATTGAGAACCTCGGCATCCTCGAGATCTCTTGTCAATGCACTTAGGAATTAAGGAATCGATGCCAAAGAAGATGTCGAGTATATTATCCCGATCTTTAGAATTATGTGATAAGCCTCCACCCTGTGTAGTATGGAAAGTTCATATCTTGAAACAAACCTAACAGAATCATTTCACAAAACAAGATGGTGTGCTAGTGGTACATGATTTGACAATTACTGAGATACTCAACCAGTGTTTAGAGAATCATTCCTCCATTTCTCCCAGAATCCAGAGTTCCAGTTGATTTCAAACTGAAAAAATGATTATGCGATGTAATTTAATTAATTACCGAGAAGACCTGATAATGTTCCTTATATGAGGAACATTAAGAATGTGTACTTGAGATGCAAAAGTATTAAACAAATGTAGAATTGTCAAAATGTAACACTGAAATATGTCAAGAAAAGTGAACTTCCCATGACAAATGTAATTTTTTCCTGGCACAAACAACAAACTCACATTCCAGACTTCATATTGCAAGCACTCATGTGTTTTGTCTTTCTTCTGCAGTTTGCAATCTTGAATGTCAATTGTTTCAGGTGTTATCTTTAAACGTATTCTGGAAGAAAATTTTGGTCAAATGTTAGCGAGTAACCAATATTTAAAAGGCTAAGCCGGGTACCAAAGCCTTTTAACTCCATGAGGTGATGCTTAAACCTTGAGGCATAGGCCTCCAAACAAAGCAAGAAAATAATTCAAAAATTTATAAAGTACAAAATAAAATCGTAATATACCATAAACCACTCGAAAATTCATAACAAATAATTTTTAAAAGATTAAAGTATAACTTGCAAATATACATTAATAAATTAATGAAATAAAAAATTAAAAATAACATCACAAATTGATATCCACAACTAGAATTAGAAAAGGCCTAAAAGTCTTCCACATCATCAACATATTTGATTCCTTATTGTCCTCAACAATATCAGTTTCTTCCCATTAATTTTCTCATGCCTTCTCCTTTCCCTTTCCCTTCCCCATCTTATCCCCTTCCCCTTCCCAATAAATTTACAAAAAATAAAGAATAGAAAATACAACAAGAAGAAAAATAAAAAGAAAAAAGTGAGTTACTTGTTGTAGGTCTCTGGTCAATGGTTAACTGCAGATAAAATTTTGTAACTTCTCTTGGATGAGAGATTTATAGCACTTCAATTGTAGGAGGCTACGACACACTCGTTTCACTTGCTCTCTTCTCTCTTATCCAATCCTTTTTCCTAGTTTTTAAGGTTGGGTTGTGCTAGGAAGGGCAAGCCTAACGAGCTCCCACACATCAGTAACCAGGAAGCTTATGCCTGGAGCGTGCATCTGAGTAAGTTTTGACAAATGGCACTCAAGGCATAAACATCGAGGAACTTAATGAAGGCCTTACATTAGGCTCGCCTCAAGGCATATGTCTCAGGCACTTTTTTAAAACAATGCGAGTAATAAATTTGATTTGAAGGGTTAAACAGATACAAAAGAATTTACAACTTTTCGCAAAAGAAACATCCACTTCTGATCTTGGAACCGAAGATGGATGATATTGACCAAAAAAATCCAGTGAATGTTTTATGTTGCTGAGTTCTGCATAATGTGGTTGCTAGATTCTGCACGTCATAAAAACATGCAAGTTTATTTTTCCTCATTAAATTTGTTATGCTATATCCGTGAGTTGTAAAGAAGTTTATGTCACCACAACCACCTGGAAGAAAAAAATAGCCGCATGAAGTCTGGGAATTGATTTTCTCAGACACCATTGTCGAAGAAACACTCAAAGCCAAAAATCTCTTCTTGCCTCTGTAAAATGGTGGAGCTGAATAGCTGCTTCTTGAGCTTCTCTTATTGTCAGTGGCAGACATTGTGTCTTGGTTCCTACTACGAGGTTTTCTATATTCATGATCAGCCTGGCAGAGTGGATTGTGATGAGGGTACTGAGAAGTTTGTAGGACTTTCTTCACCACGAAAGGGTAAAGGTAACCAATCTGTTTCTCTGAATCCTTTCACAGGACTTAATGAACAAGAATTCTTGAGATCAAACCCATAAAATTAATATGTGCTTGAATTAAAGTTCTTTCATCAATCTTTATCTTCTTATTTTGGTCATGTATGTATATCGTTTCGGTTGAGGAGACTGCCAGCAGGATATATCACAGGTTAAAATTTTGGATGAGAAGTTCTAATTATAACAGTTAGTAAAACCAAGAAGAAATATATTCTCATAAGATTCCAGTTGCTTAGACAAAACGGAGATGTTCTTTTCAAATGTCATTGAAAGACACCTATGAAGTTAAAAGTCAAGTTTTACATCTTTGTATTTAAACCAATTATGCTTCATGGACGTAAGTGTTTGGCCTCTAAAGGACGAAATATGCATAAGTTGAACATAGGAAAGATAAGGACGTGAAGATGGCTGCGAAACATACTAAATGGATAAAACAAGAAATACTATGCACACCAACTAGTAGAGATGGAATCAATTCAAAATAAATAGAAAATGATGACTTTTGTAGTGGACGTATATTTTACAAAGTAAATACCATTTAGCACTAGTGGTGTTAGAGCACCAATTTATGTAACATGTACGTGACATTAAATGATAAATCTAATTAAATGTGTTGTCATGAGATTCATTTAATTTGATCGATCATGTGTTATCACCTAGACTGGTGTGGTGATGAATAGCACTACTCTTTACAGAGAATTTAAAAGTTCATGACTTCTTATTCACAAGAGTGTAAAATAGTTCCGAAGAGGAAGAGGTAAACCTTAATTAACATAACCTCATGTGATTGCAAAATTTGGTGTTGGATCTGACAAAATGGTGAAAATACAGTTTATCCGACCCCAAGCTCATTGGGAATATAGCTTAGCTTGTTGTTGCTGCCGCTCTTGGAATCGATTATATATGAATCGATTATATATCTATCCGTTTGACATCATATTAATGTTTTCATTTGGTGGGTATTTACCTTGAAACGTATTTCTTGCAATTTAGTACTTTGAAAATGCAGCCACCATAATACATTGAGATCCAAACAGATTTGATCTTTATAGTAAAAGGGCTGGCTCTACAAACCAGTAGTGGGAACTATGAAGGCATGAGCACTCATATCACCACCTTTAAATCATATGTGCAAATGCAACACAGCAGAAGAATGAGTACCACAAAGGGTTGGCCTAGTTGTCAAAGTTTTGGACCCGCATGCACATGGTTGAGATGTGAGTCTCATGGCGAGAGATTTGTGAAAAAGTGAAATAGCAAAACAACTATCATGATTTTTCTTTCATTCTTCCTTTCCACTCGTTACTTCATATTTCAAATTGAAGCCAATTGGGTTAAATAAGAGCAGCTTGTAAAAATAGCATGACATTGAGAGAAGAAAAATCGTTGACATACAGATCAAAGTGAAAACAAATAATGATCATCCATCACCATCATTGATGATTAATCGCAAAAAGATTACCTGTAGTGCCCACATCGTGTCTCTCATCATGGGTTCCAAGATGCAAACATTTGCATCCCTACATAAGAATGACAAGTTGGTGAACCTCAGTAGCTTTTGCACTAAAATTAGCTCAACGTGTGTATACATCTATGATAAATTAGCTTTACCTTCATAACCTTGCGATAACCATTTGGCATCCCACGTGCTTTTGTCACAATTTCTAACAAAGAAACATCAGAAATGGAGCCTAGAGCTTCGCCTTGGAAACTTCCAGTACCATCCATAACAGCCAAGTGGTCAATCTTTGAAGTGGCTATTGCATAATAAAAATACAATAAGTCAAACATAATATTCAGAGCGAAAATAAAAAATCAAAATTCAGCATCTTCTAATAGAATTAGGAATTCTTTATGCTTGATGGAAGAGAACACATTTGCTCCTACACTGACCTATTCAATGTGGATGCAAATACTTAAATCAACACTAAAGGTGAAGTCTTATTTATCCTGAGATTACCATATTGTACTCCTAGCAGCAACAATCCATCCCTCGTAATACCAGATCCTACAATTATATAGATTCAAGTATGAGATAAAACGAGAAAGATTGAGCTTTCCACCCAAATATAGGATATGAAAAAAATTGGAAGTTCGATTGCACTATAAAAATTCAGCCTATGTTTTGTTTTTTTTTTAGGGAGGGAAGAAAGGAAAGGGAATAATCAGGTATGAAGGAAGTGGCAGGGAAACAATGTATCATACAATATCATATGTATGACTCATTAAGCTTTCTCTTCCTTTCTCCTTTACATGTCCAAATACAGTTTTGTAAATTATTCCTCTTTCCCCTCACTTAGCCTCAAACGTGTAGTCTAAGGTAAATCCGGAACTGACCATTGTCCACCACTTTAATGTAGCAGCTGTCAACCCCAATAGCCACAGACACCTGATGGAACAATAGAAGAGTGATACGAGATCCTGACATCAAATAGTCAGACAACATCAGGATAATTTGAGTACAAAATCATACCTATGAATAAGAAATGAAAATGGAAACTGAATAACAAACACATACAAATGTAAGCACATCGCAAGTGCATACATACGTGTATGCATACAACTATGTGTGTGTAAAGTTGGAGAGTACGGTGGTAATATATAAATTATAGTGTCCCTATTGGTTTTTCTTCTTTTCTTTCGAGAAAAAAATGATCTGTGAGTACATAAGATATTCTAATCTCTTGGTATTCCATGTCCAAGAGTATAGTAACCTAGTATCAAACCTAAAATCATTTGATTAGAACCACTCTGAATCCCCCCAATAAGGATTAAAATTTAAAAACAGAAAAACAGAAGGGAAACGGAAGGTCTCTCATATGGAACAAGTCCATCAAAATCAGCATGTTTCTTCTAAAGAGTAAGAGTTTGTATGGTCTTGCCATATCAGGAACAATTATACTGGTAAGATTGGCGATAGTAATTCAAGTTCAAGACAATTACAATACAATATATAGTTGGAAACTATAAACGATAAAATTTAATAGTATGAACAAGTTACCTTAGTAGCACCCGCTTCAAGGCTGTTAAAAACCAGCTCCTCCACAATCCGTGTCAAATCACATATCACAATCCCCGAACGCACGGAACTGTGAATGGCTTCTGGCAACCGCTCAATACGCCTCATCTAACACTACCAAATGTCGAGAAACATAAACCGATAGAAAAATCATATTTGAGAAACCCATAAAATGTAACTTACAATAAAGCAGATAATGAATTTCGCCTAACATAATCTGCATGGTTGATTTTCCGACTAACTAACAGAGAATTCCAGAAACCCATTAACAAGTTCTTGAGTGCGTAATATTATACAAGATAAATAATTTTAAAGGAGTTTAGAAAAGGGACAGAATGTGAATCGTGTTACCAGAATTTGCCGGAAAAATTAAGTTGGAATTTAGGCCTTTGTTCCGCACTTCGAATTGTAGTTTAACAGAAAGGGGACAACGATCGTTCGAAGTTGGGCTCTTAAACCTTGAAAAAAAAGGCGGTTGACGGCTTGCGTTTGCTAGAAATTCTGCAAATCAGTCTGCGCCGAAAGGCATGTTTAATTTTCTTGAATAAAAATCATATATACCCATTCAGGAAAAACATTTCACATTCTACCATAAATGGTTTATATACTAATATAATAAACTATGTAAAAAAAAATCAATAGTACTGAGTCGAGCTTTCACTTTCATCATGTTGTAACTGAAATTTGATATGCCTTACATCACGGGTGTCATTAATTATAAATCCATGAGAAATGCAAATTCAATTTCAATTGTTTTATGCTGCTACAGCACTCTGAAGGGGATAGGTAACCAGCTCTATTAATCTGCACTGAAACGGAGATCAATTCCGCGTTCGGTGCAATGTAATCTCCATCCTTCTTGTGTAACGGATTTGAGGGTATTCACGAATTCATAATTTCTACATAACAAATGTAATATTACATTATGTGGATTATTTTATCAATTTCTTTAATTGCTAGATAGTATCAGATATAACTTTGATTCGATGCGTGGGAAATGTTCGAGCAAATGACTGATAGGAATTATTGTGTTTGGTCAGGTATTGTAGGAAGGGTGACGTTGACGCTCCTTCTTTATTCAAACTTGGGACCCACTATAACACATGGACGATTTAAAATTGTACACGAATGAATATTTCGTGAACAATTTCTAAGAAAAAACAAATGAAATGTCAATATACAATAATAAATATAAAATTTATTGTACCAAAAAATTCGTGAAGGGAAATATTTTAGCAATTCCACTAGCCATCTTGTCTCGTAGTGCATGATCCAAAACAATTTTATGCTTTATCCACAACTTATAAATATAATGGATTGTAGTGCGAATATAACATTCACGCTTTTTCCTAGAACGTCGATCATAACTAAATAAAATGACATCAATATGTGGGGAGAGATTATTTGAGCCAAATAATAGATTTTTTTACCCTTTTTTCTAACACAAATTTGCTACTGTGAGTCAAGAAAGTCAACTAATGAACTGCCTTCCCACCAACGGTCTGAAAAGGGACTTAAAATCAGAACTAAAATCAGAAATAGATAATCCTCTACTAGTTGGTTTGTACCTTGATTGAATACATGTTTGTTTGAATTTCATTGAGTTCCATTTTTATTTTTATTTTTCAAATGAAGTTATTTCCGCAATAATTACAATATGCTTTCGTAATCTGCTTCTTACTCTCCACTGTCTTCTTTTCATGAATTGTTTCCAACAATCACAAATTTTTTTGTTCTTTCGTTTCTCTGTAGAGACCGCTTCTTCCTACGTCATTAGGCTCAATGGATAATCATTGGTTTGAAAAAAATCGGAGACTGAAGCTTCAGAACTATTGAAAATTGGTTAACTTTCATAACGAATTTTATAGAAAATTCAGGAATAAAAATAATTGGTACAATAAAATTTGAAATTGAAGAAATATTTAATAACAAAAGAACAACGGTTATCAAAGGCACTTCTTAATGAGTCACATATACTTTTACATCTAAAATGCTATACTGACTTTTCTTGACAATCAAACTATAAATATCCCCTGTTTGGGTACTTATTTTTAAAATTCATTTTTAAAAAAAAATTCAATTACACGTTTTATGGGATTCGCAATTTTTATTAACTTTTCAATTACATATTTCATTATTTTTATCGAAATCTACTAAAATTTTGATTTTTATTTAAATAATTACGTATGTTTGCCTTTGAAATTAAATTATATTGGGGAATTTACAAAAATAGTTAATTCCATGCTTGTCAATTAAAAATTGTCTAATTTTGATAACTATTACAAAAATTGCCAAATTTAGTACTAAATTGTCTATTACACCCTTAATGAAAAATGAAATAAGTTTTTTTTTTAATTTGTCACGAATTTCGAGAAAAATAAATAGCTTTCATGAGAAGTTACATTCAAATGACATTCTCGATATTTTTAAAGTTGTTATCAATATTTGAACCTAATACTTTATTTATCTAGAACGAGATTTCATTCCAAACATAAGAGTTCTCTGCATTTTATAGAGATTTTGATATTTGAAATATAGTTATCGATATTTTATACATGTGTCAATGAGAAATATAACATTTATTGTAATTTGATATGTGTACTTTTGAAATAAGTATAGTAAATTATGTGTCAAAATTTTATTGGCCTGCAAAATATTTAATTGTATGCAGATTTTTGTCTTTAGTATGGAATTAAAAATTATTAACAATGGTATTTTGGGCTAAAATATTGAAAAATGGACATTGAACAAATGTTGGACATTTTTACAAATGACCTTGTGGAAGTGGATATTTCTTGTAATTTCCACAATTATATTTACTATTTGCCAGCACATCACACACTGGGGGAATGGAGGATTGATCGTGATAGTGTGGTTCTGGAGTGGTATAATTTTTCATGTCCTTGTTTGGGTATATGTCCAAAAAGATGAGGATTGATAAATGTGGATAAGAAAGAGATAAAATGTGAAGTAATAACAAAATTGCCATCAAAATGGCATACATGTACATAACCAGTTGCATAATTATTTACGGACAAATAATATGTCGGAAGAGAGCGGAGATTTTTTTATTTATTTATTTGATTGAAAAATTCTGATTCAATCATATCTCACCACGTTACCAGCATGTAAGTTGTAAACCTATTATATAAGTCTTTGATTGAGCCCCAATTTTTCGTTAAAATGCATTCTTGAAAAGTGATTTAACGTCATTTCAATCATATATTCTTTAATAAAATAATATTACACGCAAATTCAAATTTTTTTCTTATTTTTTAACCGTACATTCTTTATCGAGCAATACTAGTGGTACATCACCACTAACGTAAGGGTCTACATAATGGACACCTGACGCTCTTTCATTGGAGGGAGGGTTGGTGAGGTCGGCATTCCATCCAATGAGATAGTGTCGGGTGTCCATTATGAACACCTGATGTACAAGGTGATATACAATAAAAATTATCCTTTTTCATCGTAGCACCGTTGCAATATGTATTTTTTGCAAAAAAACAGAAGGACTCAAACAACCCTAAATTAGAAGTAATGTACTTGCAGGAGGAATTTGGGTGTTAGAATTGGAGCCAATCGAAATTCTCTGTGTCATAAATAATATATACATTTCCCTTCCTTTCCTTCTTTTAAACACTGGTTTTTAGTTTTTACAATTACAATGTCATATATATTTTCTCTTATTAGAAAACCCTAATATCAACTCTTCCTCTCCTCTATCAAACATGGAATGATCGGGTATTTGAACCTCTCGATTTCAGCTTAATTTATCCGTGTTATGTATCTATGCACAATCAGATTTGCATAATTGTTTTAAATCAGGATTTGAATATGGTTAATTTTGATCATAATTGTCTTATATCTGTGTTTCAAGTTGGAAAATGTCTGTCTTTTGTTGAATACTTCTTTTTTTGCAGGGGTTTTTGATTGATATGCTTCTTATGGGTTTGAATTGAATTCTCGATAGCATCTTATTTTGGATTCAAATTCATGGGATGATTGAATTTATGTTTGTATTAGGTCAAATTAAGGAAAATCCGATGTGGGTTTTGGGAATTATTTGATAAATATGGATCTCGGGTTGCTATAGCTGAGAATAGTGTGCTAAAGGTTTGAATTTCATTGTTGTTTGTAGTGTGAAGGTTTTTGAAGCGATTTGTATGCATATAGATGTAGAAAGCAATGGAGGCAAATGCATGTGATGTCAATCACTTGGATGCTGATGCCCTTTTGCCACCTCGAAAGCGGCTTCTGGCAGGATTGAAGAGACGGAATTCTGATCTTAACTGCCACACCCCATCCGCTGCTTGTAATGCGCGGAATGGATATGATGCTCACCTTAGTAATGTATTGCGATCTAACTTGGATAACCCTAGTCTTTCCAATGAGGAGCTTGTTGAAGCCTCCAGATTGGCTGCTATAAAAGCGACAAAGGCTGCAGAGGCTGCAAGAGCTATCGCGGAAGAGAAGGCTGCTAAAGCAGCAAAGGCAGTGGCTGCTGCCAAGAGTGCTTTGGAACTTGTTGCTTTTCTTTCAGATGAGAGTGCTAACAAAGAAAAATATCTGAAAAAGAACAAGATGAAGAAGCATGTCCCTGTTCAAACATTGTACAATAAGCACAAAGGAATTTCAAATTGCAAAACAGATGAAGAATTAGCCCGGAAGTTGCACCGTGACATCAACAGCTCCCCAAGAATTTCCAAGAACTTCCCATCTTCTGATTTGAAGAATCACAAACATAAGAGGTTGAAGAGCTCAACTTCTGGAAGAACTTGTGTTGACAGTGGAGGTTCAGTCTGTGAAAGGAGTCAATCTTCCACGAGCAATGGGAATGGGTCAGTAGGAAAAATACACACTGAAGGTCTAGTAAAGGAGGTAGAGAAGATTATGGTAGATCTGAATACATCGAAATTCTACAATGATGACCAACCAAAGTTGGAAAATGGAGAAGGATCACAATATAAATATGATAAATCTGAGCGACTGAAGTTGCAAAATGAGGTAACTGGAACACTTCACTCAGAGGAGAATTTTTTGGAATCATTGGATAGTTTTGGTAAAAAAAGAGGAAGGATTAAACAAAAAAAGTTGCCCTTGAGCATTTGTAGTTTCAGAGATCAAACAAACCCCAATGTGGATCTGAAATCTAAAGGCATGTTAGAGACACAAGATAATGCACGCAAAGCTGCAGTGGGCAATAAGTCCCCATTTTCTGTAGGGTCTTCTGGTGGTAGTTCGATGCCTGTTGAGAGGACATCCATGTGGAAGTGCCAGGCGTTCAAGACACCTGGTTGTGTTAAACAAAATAAAGTCATGCAGTCGTAGTAGCTTCATAGTTTTATTTGAAAAAATGGGATGTTATCATGATAGGATTCAATGGCCAAGGTAGTTCTCATTTATGCGTTTCTCTTTTGATAAGGCCTTTTTTTGTTCCTTATTTTATTTTATTTTATTTTTTGTTTGATGGTGGTTGGTGGCACTGTAATGATTTTGAACTTGCTTAAATGTATATTGATCTGTTTGATTGTTTCCATTTTTTATTTTTATTGTTCTGTTGCACTTTTAAGACGGTTGTCTAAGCCTTGGTGGAGGGGAAGAAAAGGAAGATAAATTTGCAACATATCTTGTTTTATGTTTCTTGAGATGCCATTTTTGTGGAATTGTGCTTTAGCAAGTAAATGATACTAGTGAAGTGAGACTACAGTCATGGCTTCATGTTCTAGTAATCTTCTTCCTTTTCCTTGTGGTCAATGTGGCTTCGCTGGCTTTTGCATCCTCTAAGAAAATCGCTTAAGGATCACAATATAAATATGATAAAGCTGAGCGACTGAAGTTGCAAAATGAGGTAACTGGAACACTTCACTCAGAGGAGAATTTTTTGGAATCATTGGATAGTTTTGGTAAAAAAAGAGGAAGGATTAAACAAAAAAAGTTTCCCTTGAGCATTTGTAGTTTCAGAGATCAAACAAACCCCAATGTGGATCTGAAATCTAAAGGCATGTTAGAGACACAAGATAATGCACACAAAGCTGCAGTGGGCAATAAGTCCCCATTTTCTGTAGGGTCTTCTGGTGGTAGTTCGATGCCTGTTGAGAGGACATCCATGTGGAAGTGCCAGGCGTTCAAAACACCTGGTTGTGTTAAACAAAATAAAGTCATGCAGTCGTAGTAGCGTTCATAGTTTTATTTGAAAAAATGGGATGTTATCATGATAGGATTCAATGGTCAAGGTAGTTCTCATTTATGCGTTTCTCTTTTGATAAGGCCTTTTTTTGTTCCTTTTTTATTTTATTTTATTTTTTGTTTGATGGTGGTTGGTGGCACTGTAATGATTTTGAACTTGCTTAAATGTATATTGATCTGTTTGATTGTTTCCATTTTTTATTTTTATTGTTCTGTTGTACTTTTAAGACTGTTGTCTAAGCCTTGGCGGAGGGGAAGAAAAGGAAGATAAATTTGCAACATATCTTGTTTTATGTTTCTTGAGATGCCATTTTTGTAGAATTGTGCTTTAGCAAGTAAATGATACTAGTGAAGTGAGACTACAGTCATGGCTTCATGTTCTAGTAATCTTCTTCCTTTTCCTTGTGGTCAATGTGGCTTCGCTGGCTTTTGCATCCTCTAAGAAAATCGCTTTTCTGTACATTAACCATCTTTTGAAATCTATAACACCCAAGAACTAGAAACTTTTATCCATCAAATGACTAGTGATCTAGTCAGTAGCATCAAAATTGTGGATATCGGTGATTCTCCTATGCCCTTTTCGTTCATTTTTGTGCGACCATATAAAACATCAGAACTTTTTTCCTCCTGATGAAAGCGGCAGCACCAGCTTTTGTTTTGTTATTCTACTTCAGAGGCTGCTTTCATAATTAGCTTATCAGTGGTGTGGTATGCAAGGAGAATGGTTTTGATCTTGTATCATGTTCTCAGTACAATCCATCCATAATTACATGTACTTGCGTGTCTTGCTATAAATTTATGAACCAATTTTGCATTTCATTCTGTAAGTGACAATCACTTTGTGCATGCATTTCATTTTAACGGGCCTTCATTAGTTCTTTGGTTTAAATTGCGCGATAATAATTTGATTTGTTAGTTACGTAGGTTAACCTAAAGTACAATTGTCCCAATTTCGAATTGCAGCATTCAAAGAGATGATAGGTTCAGATGTTGCAACATTCAAGATCACGATTCATTTAACTGGGTCTATAAATCTAAACTGGTATTGTAGCACCATGGTACTAGATAGCATTGTTCTTTAATATAAGCTTCCCATAATTTGTTTATACACAAGGCATTTCGATATTTATTTTTTATTTAATCCATGAGGAATATTCATAATAAAGATGAAACCTTTCTGTTTGCAAGTACGGTGTTCGAAATTGTAGGTGAAACTGTTATCACTTTTAATCACTGTAATTTTTGTTACGCCATGAAAAGCTGGGACTCATGAAGGGGCCCAATTAGCCTACGTGGCAAACAGTTCGTGGGCCCATGCCTCATACGCTGGCATAGGGGCAATCCAGATGCATACGGGCGAACCGATCCAGGTGCAAGTGACTCGACTCTCCCGCATAAAACACCTGGATAGACCCCTTTACAGGTAGACCCCATTGACAGAACAGACCAAGACAAGACAGTGGCAAGATCTCAAATGGGTCCCACTCCACATGAGTTGACAAGACAACTCACTGTCACTACCGTCACCACCATCCTGTTTGGTCAAGTCTAAAGTACATGCTAGGCTTTATGGACACAAAATGGTGATGGTATTTAAGGCAATGATTGATTGATGTATATGACAAAAAATGGAAGCCATTCGAATGAAGCCACGTGCGCTACCATCCAATGGACTCCATTCATTTCGTCCAAGTATAAAATCTCACACTTGTTGGGTTTTAATATCCAATAAATTCAGGCAATGATGTAAAATCATTGTTGAATAATTATTATATCAACACCTAAAATTGATGACCTGACCTTAAAACTATTTTAGGTTATTGGAAGCAATCTAATTAATTAGAGTTGTTCATGGCCAGATTTCTCACTTAATGGATGACTCGCTATGTTCTCTTGTTGGGCCGGCCCATCACTATGCCCTAAGTGGTCCATATATATTTTGTCTCTTGTCATGGTCATTTGAGAAGTGTGTCTTGCCTTTNCAAGACAAGACAGTGGCAATATCTCGAATGGGTCCCACTCGACATGAGTTGACAAGATAACTCACTGTCGCCACCACCATCCTGTTTGGTCAAGTTTAAAGTACAGGCTAGGCTTTATGGACACAAAAGGGTGATAGTATTTAAGGTAATGATTGATTGATGTATATGACAAGAAAGAGAAATCATTCGGATGAAGCCACATGCGCTACCATCCAATGGACTCCATTCATTTCGTCCAAGTATAAAATCTCACATTTGTTGGGTTTTGATACCCAATAAATTCAGGCAACAATGTAAAATCGTTGTTGGATAATTATTATACCAACACCTAAGATTGATGACCCGATCCTAAAACTATTTTGGGCCATTGGAAGCAGTCTAATTAATTAGAGTTGCTCATGGCCCGATTTCTCACTTAATGGATGGCTCACTATGTTCTCTTGTTGGGCCGGCCCATCACTATGCCCTAAATGATCCATATATATTTCCTTCACTTTGTTTTGGTCATTGGGGAAGTGTGATTTGTCTTGCAATAGAGAGAACTCGGCTTCTTTGCTTTGTGCTTTCGTTCTTTGAAGTTTGCCTTGTGATTTTCTCGTTGCCCTTTAGCCTTTGTGGCTGCAAACACTTTCCCCCTTCGTGTTCTATGTGGGCATACTGATAGCAACCAAAGAGAGAAAGTTTGAAGGTTTCTTGGGTCATTTACTTTGGTGTTGATTCTTGGTGAAACTGAGCCCGGAATAATGTTGATTGAAGCCCAAAATACAACAACACTTAGTGCCATTCGAGGACAATGCAAGTTTAGACTTTTAAAGTTATATCCTTGCTATATATTTTAACTAGTCTCTCACAAGCCGACCCCCTTTTTATTTATTGGAGGTTCACGTTCAAAACTCTACCACACTCTAAATCATTTCTCCAATAAACTTGACCGTCAGAGTGCACGCGACCAACTACATCCCCTCAAGAGAAGCCCACGTGTGACTAAAGGCTCGTCTAAATGTGTAGGAATTCAGTTTGCGTGAACGTGAGAGATTTTGATATCTGTTAACCAGATCATTGATACGTTTTTTGGGGTCTACAATTTTTATTTTAATATGTTTTAATATTATTCTGTTCCTTTTATTATTTAAACATACGGAAGGATACTTCTTAATACAATATTTAGGGAAATTTGCATAGGAGGTCTCAAACATTTCAACCCATTGGAGATAGTACTAAAACTTTTAAATCATAGCGGATAGTCAACAAGCCTTTCAAACTGAACGGTAGAAAGACCTTTGGACGGTTCCGTCCAAAAATTCATTAATTGACCCGAAAATCCATCAAGTGTTTTATCATAATTTTGTCTAATAACATACACCCTTCAAGAATAAGTAAAAATTATCTAGGTACCTTGATAAGTCTAACTAGCAAATTCTAATCAATAATTATCCTATAATTTTAAAATAATTTTTAGTTTTTATTGGATTAAGATTATAATTTTAATTTTGTATAAATGTGGTGTATTAAGCTAATTTTGTGGTGGTAATATAATTACACCTTTTTAATGTTCTAAACAAGCGTAAAATCTGGTTAGATGATAAGATTAAGTTTCAATTTTTTATGAATCTAAACGAGTCTAGATGCTGAAAAACGTATATGTAACTAGGCGTAGAAAAGCGTATTTTGTGATTAGGTGATAAGGTCTTCTTTGAACTTGCGCGAAGCATAAGCAAATTTCTTATAACACTACTCCTTCCATAATTGAAGTAAAAAGAAAAAAAATCTTTTTTTTGTGAAAGTGGAAAATATAAAAATCTAATATTTTGATTTAGAGGAAGGTTTTTTTTTTTTTTTAACCTTTTCTGATAGAAAAATTATGAGAGTGGTTGAAAATTTTAGCAATTTTTGATAAAAATTAATGAAATATGTAAAAGTTTGATCAGTTAAAAAGTTGATAAAATTTTTAAACATGCTTTACCAAACGCGCACTAAATGTAATTTAAAACCTCATTTTCTACTCTTTTTTCTTCGTGGAAACTACACTTTGAACCATTTTTGTCTTTCAATAATGGATTTTAAATCCATGGATTGGATTTCCTTTACAATATTCCGACTTTCGGTTACTTGTTCGTTAGAAACAATATAAAATTGAAGATTAGCACACCTTAACTTGCC